AGTTGGGCAAACCATCGCATATTGAACATGGAGTATCATCATCTTTGTGGATGCCTAGATACATGGAGGATCAAGATGAAGAAGGTGGTTCACAAAGTTTCTGCTGCCTACGGCTCAGAGCTGTGGGACAATCACGACAGTAGAGTGATGATTTAGTGTGTGTGAGCACCTGGCATGGCACTGTTGTCGGTGGTGCCTGGGATGCATAAGTGAAGACCCATCATGAGATTGTAGGATTCTTTATTTACTGAAAGAATTCAATGAGTTTAAAGCACTTAGAGCCAGGCAGACAATAGGTGCAATTACGTGTTAACTATTATTGTTTTTTAATAACTTTATTTAACCGGGTGTCACCAATCCTGTTGGATTGTGGAACCATTTTTAAGGTGATGCATACCAAACGCATACTAACAATCTGGAAAATATCCTTCTGAAGAACATGCTTTGGCAAACTCTACTTATTTTAAACCTCCAGTTGCTAGGCTTCCAAATTCATTTGGTTCTAGGTTTTCCTGACAGCAACCCCACACATCCTTGTCCCCATTCTATGGAAAATGATGCAGAGGCACTTGCTGAAAAGGCCTCCTGCCCCGGGTATCTTTCCCACCTGCCCTTCACAATGTGTTAGATTCTGAGGGTCAGGAATGCTACTGGTATGACCTAGCTGGGTAGTTCTGGCTGAGGTCTCTTGAGGCTGCAGTCATCTGACGGCTCAACTGGGGCTGCACCATCCACTTGCCTGGTGGCTCCCTCATGTGGCTGGCAAGTGGTGCTGGCTGTGGGCAGGAGGCTCCAGTTCTGCCCCATGCTGGCTTCTCCACAGGCAACTGGAGGAATTTTATTATACAAATTCGATTCTGTTTTATCAAGAGAGAGAATCAATATTTGTACAGTTAAGCATTTAATTTACGATCAATAAAAATGTATGTTTATCCTTTTGACTTAGTGATCCATATGGGCTATTTGTTTTGTTTTGTAAATTGGGCAACCAAGAAGAAAGTATTATGACAATCTATGAAAATATCCCTTAGACAATTCTTTCTGAATTTAAGATCTGCATGAAAGTGTTATTTCACCTTCTAATATTTCACAATAAAAATCAAGCAGAAGTCATGAAGAGGTGAACTTAGCGATTCTAAAATATGTTCTATTAAAATAAACTTTCCCAACCTTGGAATAATTGACATTTTGGTGTGGATCAGTCTTTCTTGTGGGGAGACTGTCCTGTGCATTGTGGGATGTTTAGCAGCCTCCTTTGTCTCCACCCACTAGTTGCCGGTAGCACCCCCCACTCCAGTTGTGACGACCAAAAATGTCTCCAGACGTTGCCTAATATTCCTTGGGATGGAGGACACACTTGCTCCTGGTTGAGAACCACTGTGCTAAAGTATGGATGCATTGTGATAATCCCATGCCTTTAATAGGGATTACATGAGTGGATCAATATCAGATTTCAGTGTAAGCAGGTACCTGGACATCCAGTGTCAACTCAAGTGGTCCTGATGCATCTAAACAGAAGTATAAGCAACTCTGAACTCAAAACTTTGATGCTAAACCACCAGGGGTTAGAAAGACAGCCAGGGCTGAAGGCAAAAACAAACAAACAAAAAATAAATCCAATGCCTCCAGTTGCCTGGTATTCTTTGAAAAGCTTCTGAGTGGCAGAGTTATTTGGTTTGCTCCAAGCAGAGAAATAGTGTGTTCTTCATCTTTGAGCCAGGGCTCCATATGGATTTGGTTGACATGGGAGAAGGCTTAGTCTGCGGTGGCAGCAAGTAGGTGAACTGTTCGGACCTTACCACAGCATGTGCTTGTCACACAGACGGTGCTTGCTGTGCAGGGCTGCAGCTTTGGTCATTTGCCAGCTGTGGCTCTTGTGTCGGCAGGTTTCCCGGCTCCCTCCTGCGCATCCATCCCCTGTGCCAACTGCCCTGCCTGCTTGAGCTAGACCATCAGCTCCTGTCCCCAGGTCCCCGTGTTCCCAGGTCCCAGCTCGCTCCAGCTCGGCCTCCCTCCGCCTGTTCTGTTTGCATCTTTCAGTCCTGGAGACGAGGAGGCTTCCTCAAAGGACGATAAAGGTAAAACGATGTGGGGCAATGCCCCTCCAAGGTATATACCCCAAGGGATGGAGAACGGGCTCAAACACATACCTCTACACAAATGTTCATAGCAGCACTATTCACAAGAGCCAGAAGGGGGACACAAACCAAGTGCCCGTCAGCTGATGGTTAGATAAACAAAATGTGGTCCATCCATACAATAGAAGAGTATTCAGCATAAAAAGAAATGAAGTACTGATCTATGCTACATCATGGCTGAACCTTGAAAATTTATGCTCAGTGAAAGAAGCCAGACACAAAAGGTGTTGTATGATTCCATGTATATGAAATTGTCCAGGATAGGCAAATCCAGAGAGACAGAAAGCAGACTGGCATTTGCCAGGGCTGGGGGAGGGTAGATGAGGAGTGACTGCTTCATGGGTACAAGCTTTCCTTTTGGAGTGATGGAAATATTTTGGAACTTGACAGAGGGGGTGGCTGCACAACACCGTGAATGTACTAAAGGCCTTTCTACCTCCTACGTGGAAGAATTGCCCGCATACGTCTACACTGTGTCATGCCAAGAGCTGAAAGCAACCGGAAAATTATAGTCCTTTTTATATTTATTGTTACCTTTGAGAATAAGGAATGTATTGCTTTTGTTAAAATTCTTTGCATTTCACACAAATCTCTTCCAATACATAAACTTTTTGCCAACACTGTTGATAGTGGTTCTGTCTGGGGACTAATAATGGGAAAATCAGTCTGACCAGATATTAGAAGGTCGCATTTCTCATTTTGATTTATTGTTTCTAGCAGTAAACTGATTAATTTTGACATGTTGCATAACCAGAAGAATGTTACTAACTAAAGTCATATTTCCCTTTTTTGTGTGTTTATGACACTCAGATGATGTTAATTACACTTACTGAGTTGAACAGCATATATAAAAGATAATCTTCAATTCTAAGACTCTAATTTGTAGGTTACCATCTGTTTTGGACCAAAGAATAAGAATTTGATCCTAAAGCTTTTTTCTGAACAGCTTGTAATAAGAGGTGTTTACATATTAATTACTTATTGAATTATTATGGATTTTGACGTTTTAATTTTCAGGCAATTTGGGGCTTGTTGTGGTGACATCTGCTCATATTTTGATACTTTATGGTATTTAGCAATTTCATCATAAGGCTCTTTTTCTCCCATGGTGATTTACAAGCCAATCCTGAAAACAGTCATTTGCTTTCTGCTTCAGGTTACTATAAGGAGTATTGTCCTATTTCATCTCCACTACAGAATTTTTTTCATAATGAAATGTATTTCTATTTTATAGGCAAAATCAGTGTTCCCTTGTGCCTGCTTTACTCTGGTGCCCTTTAATTTCTGTTCAAAGAGTTGTAGAGGAATTTTGTTTAAATCTCATTTTTCTTTGGTAGTAGATTTTTCTTTAGTTGTCCTGCTTATTAATTTTATCTTATATATGCTTATGATGTTTTTTAAAAATGTATTGCAATGAAACTTAAGGGCCTATGAACCTGCCTATAGAATGTTTTTACTCTCCTTTCTTTTAACAACCTGACTATAAACATGAATCAGTGGGAATAATTTGCTTGAATTTCCTTAAAACGTTCCATGAGGTTCTGTATAAATTCACTAAAAAGAAACACCTTCATTCTAGCTTCGCTCGTGGATTTGAATTTTATTAAACCTGGTACCTTTTTATTAAGACTACTGAGTAAGAATTTAGAGAAAATGGCAGGCATTTAATTTCCTTAGTTCTTGAATTTGTAGATGACAGTAGATAATTTAAACTTTGTAGGAGGCTAGATTCGTTCTAACCAAAGAAATTTTATAAGGAAGAAGGTAAATATTGCTCAGTAAATGGTGATTGACTGCTTAGTGTTTATATTGACTGAAAAATACAAACAAGTTTTTCATATGAAGGATTATTTTATGAGAGAGAAACCTGGCTTCTTCAGAAATCAATACAAATGGGACCCTTGTGAAATGGAAATTGAGTTCAGGCAGACGTCAGAGACACTGCGGGTTCAGTTCCAGACCACCGACCGCAGTCAAGCGAACATCACAATAAAGCAAATCACATGAACTTCTTGGTTTCCCAGTGTATATAAAGGTTATGTTTATACTACATCATAGTCTATTGTGTGCACTAGCATTATGTCTAAAAAACAATATACACACCTTAATTTAGAAATACTTTATTGCTAAAAAATGCTAACCATCATCTGAGCCTTCAATGAGTCATAATCTTTCTGCTGATGGAGGGTCTTGTAAAAATCACAGTATCTGCGAAACACTATAAAACGACGTGTGCCTGTACAATAATGGAAAAGTTGGGACTTATTGGTCAGTGCCTTTCTTTTGCTTTATTTTAGGGAAGCCAAGGGGGGAAAAGATTCTACTGTTGTTTCTGTGTTTGTATGAGCACAGTATAATTAGGGTGGATATACACACACAAATATGCACGCTGTGGTTATGGTAAATGTAAGCTCACACCACGTCTAAAGTTTCTCTACTGCATGTTTTCTTCTCTTAAAGGTGCACGCAGTTTAATTTATTAGTTGCGTGGGATACAGTCCCTAAAGCAAAGATATTTCAAATGGGCAGTAATTATCATTAAATGTTAGCAGTAGTAATATCTGAGCTAAAATTAATTTTATCTACTTTGAGACTCTTTGCTCTCAGAATTTCTACATGTACAATAATACCGACTAGTCATTTTAATTTCTCTTTTCACTTTGAAAATGAAACTGCATAGTCTGTGTTAAAGTTTAAGATGGGGATTATGAAACAATAAAATATGTTAAGTTTGAGTTGGATGAAAAAGAAAAACAATGTCATCCATTTGAAAGGGAAGACATAAAGGAATAGGAGAGGTCAGAGGTGAATAATTCCCAAAGAATGTTACGGTTTTTTTCAAGTTTCCCCGTTTCTCACCAGGCGGCTCCTGGCAGACGCTTTGTGATTTCTCTGATTGGATGCTGGGGAGCCCACTGTTCCAAAGGTCCACACATGAAGTCACCATAAAGGTAAGCGCCCCACCTGCCACTGGATCTTTGTCCCTTTTACTGAAGTCCGTTTCAGAAGCAGAACTGCGTCTTGCCCAAACTGAACATCTTCTATTTTAAAATGATTTTTTCAGGAGGAAATTGAAAGTCTTTCTCTTTGCTGTAACTGAAGGTAGTAGATAGAGCATCGTTAAATTATTATGGGCTGTATAGTCAATTCTACATGAAGAATTGGCCTTTTACTGCCTTCTAAGAATTTTGGCTACTGAGCATGCCACTACGAACTTTTCTGGGTCTTACCAGCAGAGGATGACACCTTCTAAAATCAATCTCTCCTGTCAACATTGTGAATTAAAATTTTTAAGCTGAAAAATTAATTGTAATTGGGCACCTGAGTATAGATTTTATTTGGCTCCTGTATCTTAATTCTATGCTTTATTAGTTTCTTAATACGATTTGTATCTATCTGCAAATTGATTTGCTAGTTAACCTTGAAACTTATTAGAAAAACACAGAGATTACTATTTATAGGTCTAGTGAGATGAGAGGGTTTCCAGAAGAGCCACCCAACCAATCATAGGTGCACAGGTGTCTGGAGTTGAAGCCCACATCCCAAATTAAAACAATGCCCACCCCCCCCCTTTAAAAATAAGTTCTGTAAAAGTTATCTTTGGTAAATGGGATTTTAGTGTTTGATTTTATTATTTATTTTTTGTATTTTCTGGTTCTTTAATTTTTTTTTAGAAAAAAAGCCCCACGGCACTTCTGTAATTTAAAAAACCTTATACAGATAGAAATTTGGGGAAGATTTTTTAATTTATTTTTTAAAAAACCATCAGAACCAAAATGATAGACCTAAATTTAACTAAAGTGTCTTATTGAGGTATTTTTGTTTAAAACCAAATGTCTAAAAATTGTTTTAACAAAGTAAACCTGCATAAGAATCTTGATTTTTTAAAAAAATTTAAAAACTGTAATTTGTTAATAAAAACAAAAATTTACAAAATGTTAATTAACTTGAGTGTGTGATTAGCTTTAATGTAATATAAGGTTTTCAAGGTTCATCCATGTCATAGCATGACTCCTTATTTCGTTCTTTTTTGTGGCCAAATAATCTTCCATTGTACGGGTAGACCTCATTTTGTTTATCCATCCATCAATTGGTGGGCATTCGAGTTGTATTTGCCTTTTGGTGGTTCTGAATAAGCTGCTGTGAACATTCGCGTACACGTTTTTGTGTGGGCGTATGTTTTCATTTCTCTTGGGTAGGACACCTGGGAGTGGAATTCCTGGGTCGCATGGCAACTCTCTAACATTTTGAGGAAGCGTCAAACTTTTCCAGAGTGACTGCAGCATCAGTCAGTATTTTTCGAAATGCAGTTGAACCACATTCTGAAGGTCAGAGGGAAGATGGAAGAGGAGGTCTGGTGCTCATCAGTGTTTGGATTGGGTAGTAATTTGGTACTTAGGGGACATAAACTCCAACTGAGTTGAATTGAGCACACATTGAATTCCTCCTGTGCGTGAGGCCTTGGCATGTGACTGTATGGGTGACTTTGGGGTTTTGTGTAGCCTTTGATAACTCGTGCAGTTCATACATGCAAATGGCCATTGGAGATTATGCTGGGAAATGGCACTGTGTGGCTTACCTCCCACAGTACCTACTGCGCAGCAATAAGATTGGGAGTCACCTGTAAATCACTTGCCCTTTCTCTCTGTATTGGGGGCTGTGCCTCAGAAAGTGAGGGCTAATAACTCTTTCCAGTAGACTTAACTAGTTTTGACAGGGGTCCTCCTTTGAAAGCCACTCCCAGCAGACCGTGGCAGGGGTGTTTTCTTGGCTCTCAGTTTTAAAGTGGTTGGTATGTTCATGAGGAACATCAGCATTTTGGGGGCATCACCTTTAGCTTATCAGACAGGAAGATTTCCAGCCGGGAAGCGACAAGGCATTTATTCTCTACTGTAGAAACTGGGAAATCTTCGAGAGAGCTGGGAGCATTGAGAGAAGGGGTGGCGAACACTTTCTGTCCAGGGCCAGAGAGTAAGTAGGTTAGGCTTTGTGGGCCGGCTGGTCTCGGCTGCAGCCATTCAGCTCTGCCGTTGGTGTGTGAAAGCCGCTATTGATTGTACATCAGTGGACAAACATGGCTGAGTGCCAATAAAACTTTATTTCTGGACACTGGAATTTGAATGTCATATCAATTTCATGGGTCATGAAATACGATTCTTTTGATTTTCTTTCAACCGTTTAAAAATGTAAAGACCATTCAAGCTCACAGGCCTTGAAAAAGGAAGCAGCAGGCCAGAGTTGGCCTGTAGGCCACAGTTTGCGGACCTTGCCCTAGAGGAACACACGTCCTTTTATTTCTGCCTTTTCTCACTGCCCCCCTTTGAGCCGAAGGACATCTGGAGGTGCAGCTCTGCAGGCTCGTGATATGCTTAAAACAGAGTGCAAGCTGCACTTACTTGGCGAAGGCGCCACAGATGTTTGGGGAGCCAGGACTTTGAGGAAGTGGAGGACCTTCCTGCCCGTCATGAGGAGAGGCTCTGGACCTGTGTAACAGCCCTGACCTGGGTTCTCAGCCAGAGGCAGGCCTCCCACCCTCAGGGGACGTTTGGTCAAGTCTGAAGATATTTTTCAGAGGGAGGGGTGCTACTGGCATCGAGTGGGTAGAGGCGGGGGATGCTGCTGCACACCCTACAGTGTATAGGACAGCCCCACAGCAAAGGTTTATGTGGTCTCAAATGTCAGTAGTACTGAGATTGATAAACGCTATTCACTGCTACTGTTAGTATTTTATTTTGTATTTTCAGTTTTATCAGTCATGGCTGTGGAAATTTAAGCCACTGAGCATTTGATTACAAAACTGGGTTCCTATGCTGACGTAAACACGAGGTCACTGGACTCTTATCTAATACTTGGGTTCATAATGCTTTAAGTGTTTTCCCCTTTTTTTCCTTGAGGAACATGGTCCCTGAGCTAACATCTGTTGCTACTCTTCCTCCACTTTGCCTATGGGACACCACTACAGCATGGCTTGATCAGCGTTATGTAGGTTTGCACCCGGGATCCAAACCCACAAACCCTGGGCCACCGAAGCAGAGTGCACAAACTTAACCACTGTGCCACCAGGCCAGCCCCAGGTGTTTTCCTTTTAAAAAAAATTTTTTATTCATTTAAATTGAAGCTTCAAAAACTACTATAACACAAGATTTATGAGATTCAGGCCACCTCAGTGGGTGAGGCATCTCCTGCCTTTATATCTACAGAGAAAGCTGCGGGGTTTATTTTTCAAAACTCCAGGAGACACATTTTATGAGTAAATGAGCTTGCTTATGACTCCACCTACTGCAGGAAAAGGAATCATCAAGGCCAAAATAAATCCTGCGTATGTGGGTGAAAATCACAGTGTTTTAGAGGTTTCATACCAGCCTGGGTGTATTCCTGAAATTTGAGGGCCAAGTGCACATTGTGGACAAACTGTTTGCAACTTCTCAGTCTTAAAGATAATTAAAATCTGTAAATTAATTTACAAGTTAATTGGAAGTGTTAGCTTAAAGACCAAAGTCATTAGGAAAACAGGACAGGCTACTCTTATGTGGAAGCAATAGCTGTCATTGTCTTCTAAGGCAGTCTGCTTTGAAATCTTGGGTCCATAAATGTGCACTTACCTATGTAGAGAGGAGAAGAATATAAAAGGAAAATTGTGCTGTTTGTCTTATGTACATTGTCTGCCTTATATGTGATACGGACTTTCATACCGGTGGTTTGCTGTTACTAGGTTGAGCATTTTTAGGAAGACTTCCTTCTGGGTCTCCTTGCCCCACAGGCAGAGAAAATGTGCAGAGTAGTTAGGCTGGTGAGTTCAGAGGGTTTGAGAGAGAACCTGGTAGCCACTCAGGAGGCATGGGAGGTAACTCCAGGACGCCTTTTCTGTCATGTCAGCATCTGCTGCTGATATACACAGGGATTTTGGATGAAGGCCCCAGCCAGCCATTAATTAACCCTGAAGGGCAGTCAGACACAGAAAGGACCCTTTCTGAATACCTCACCCTGGGGATGTTTTCTTATTCCTTGAAGAGCAGCATTATTTTTCTAACACAAGACCCACCCCCCCTGTTCTCTCAACCCTGTACCCTCATTTCCTACTTAGAAGTGCTGAGTTGTTCTCACACTGATTATTTCTGAAGACATTGCCAGGTTTTAATTACATTTTAATGAATGTGAGAACAGTTCATGCTCATAGGAGAAAATTTGGAAAATACAGAAAGGCGCACACACATCCTCAGATATAAGCGTAGCATAATCCCACCTCTGAAGATAGGTGTGAGAGTATTTCAGGGGGTATCTTCCATTTGTGTGTGTGTGTGTGTGTGTGTACAAAACAAAATTTAGTGGCTGCACATTGCATCTTGAAACCTACTTTTTTCACATAGCACTATATCATGGACATTTTCCCCGGTCATGAAAATTCTTTTAAGGACTGTATCTGATGGCACTGGTTTATGCCCATATTTAAATGGCGGTGCTACTGCTAGGCATATGAACTCTGGTAATAAAGTAATATAGTTATAATTTTGGATTATAATATGATATAATATTTATAAATTTGGACCATGTGACTCAAAGTAAATAAATATAACTGTAAAATTAGTGAAAAATCTTATCTTTTGGGAGAACTTTTTCTTACTGTAAAATAATATACATGAACTCATTGGTAAATGAAGATAATTCCATGAAAGAAAGCAACCGAGATGAACCAGTGTTAATATTGTCATGTATTTCCCCCAATCTTTTCTATGTATATTATTTTCCTATAATTAGGATCAATCTATAAATGTTTAATCATATTGTCATTGGACAGCAATGTTTCCAGAGCTACATCCTGGCTCAGTTACAGTTACGCAGGAGGAGGAGATGTGCAAAGTGATAAATCAGCCTGCTTCATCTCCAAAATAAAGTGGTCCTCAAGCAGAGTTTAGGAAAGGATTTCGATGCGAATGTTGATACGTACATCAAA